GGCCACCCACTTAATCTCCCTGAGCCTTGATTTCCTCATCTGTAAAATAATGGGCTTCACTTTAACAATCCTTGTTTTTTCAGAATAAAACCTAGAAACAACGTGAGAGTCTTCAATGCCAAAGAAATATTGAACTATGTTCACTACATTTAGCCATGCATTTAGTATTTTAGGGAAGACTTTACAGAGTAAGAGAGCCAAAACATTTAATTTCACAAAAATTGTTTTGTTTCAATTCCATTTTAGTTTCTTATTGTTAGATGCTTTCAATCACGTTACCTCATTCTCACAGGTATATTTTCAAAGATAAATTATCCTCAGTTTTCAGAAGCAAATAAATATAGTTGATTTTCCCCAAATTAAAGATGTAATAAGTGATGGAGTTAGCTATAAACCCAGGCGTGGCCATCTACCTTTCTTCCATGCCTCCTTTAGTGATTTTGTACACTGATACCTCAAGCAGCAAACTCTGACAAGAAGATTCAAGAGGGTCATGCTGTAAAATCAGTGGGCATTGGGTAGCAGATTTTTTTTTACTTGCAGATTTTAAAATCAGGTTATTAAACTATTTAGAAGCTTACTTGGTAAAGGATGAACAAGAACAATAAAGGAAGCATATACAGCCTTGAGTTTCAAAAACCAGGGAGCAGGGAAGAGAAGCCAGGTGGGCAAGAGATGTGAGTTCCTTCTGAGCGGTGGCCATCAGCTGCCACGAGGGTCAAACCTGGGGCCTCAGTTGGCTCCCTTGTAGATGAAGAGCCGAGCTACAGAGAAAACAAGCTACTTGATGAGCAATCTTTATTTGTTAAAATCTTCATTAAAGAATACCAGCTTAAGTTTTTCAGCATAGGCATTATTTTAATACTGGATAACACCTGCCTTTCGTTACTTTCCGAAATGCATTGCAAGACTTCTATTTTATTTGTCTCTGGCAACAAACTTTGTAAAAAGCATTTCTGGGAAGGAGTCATCTTTTTTCAGACATGTGCTTTTCATTTGGGAAAGGACTATAAACCATTCCTTGTTTCCGTGCATCTCAGATGGGATACACATAGGAACAACAGAAACATGGTGCCTCTTTCTGGGGCATCAGTTTTATTCAAAGATATTGCAGGGAGTGGCTTCATGGTAATATTGACACAAGCAGAAGAAAGTATGAAGCCCACAAGAGTTGGTAAGATGAAACGAGATTTCCCGGAAATACAGCAGCAGGAGCGCTTCAGGTAGGCGCTACTGTCTGATCCCCAAGGTGTGTACATTCACTCACTCTCCTTGGAAAACACAAGAAGCTGTGGCTGGGTCCTTCTGAAAGGGTACGGTTGCCTAGAGTGGGTCCACTTTGGAACCAGAACTAGCAGTGCTACCTTGGCCAAGTCACTTAACCTTCTGATTCTTTGGAAAAGTGAGTTGAACTCAGATCATCTGTTGCAACCCCTCCAGCTCTGACATGTCTCTATATAACCTCCATGGTTTCTGCCAACCAAAAGAATATACAGGGAAGAAGAGTCAAGCAGTACTGTGTTGATTCCTGTTTCCTGATGGATAAGGAGTCTTACGTTTCTTAGAGATGGGGCCTCACTGTGTTGCCTAGGCTAGACTCAGACTCCTAGGTCAGCCACCCAAGTAGCTGGGACTACAGGCAGATGCCACCATGCCTGGCCAGAAATCTTTTAATCATTGTATTTGATGGGGGAGCCAGAACAAAATACCACAGGTTTAAACAGAAAGTTTCTCCTGTTCCGGAGGCTAGAGGTCCAACATCAAGGAATAAGCAGGACTGTTTCTCCCGAGATCCCTGAGGGAGGGATCTGTTCTAGGGTTTTCTCCTTGACTTGCAAATGGCTGTCTTCTCCCTGTGTATTTATGTCACCTTACTTTTGTACTTGTGTCCAGATTTCCTCTTCGTATAAGGACACCAGTGTTACCGGATTAGGACCCACACTAATGAACTTTCAATTACCTCCTTAAAGACCCCATCTCCCAATACGATTCTGAGGTCCTGGAGATTAGGACTTCCACATAAAAATTTAGGGAGGACAGTTTGGCTCATGATGTTGTCTCTG